TTAACCGTTAACCCGAAGTAATTACGTACGTAGTAATTACTACACCTACCTTACCCCCCTCCCCCCCCCCCCGTTTTTTAAACTACATTTTTCTAAGCTAAATTGCTTGTGGATCCATCACTTTGTTGGTTATAAAGTCCCTAATAACACTTGAGTCAAACAAAACAAAATATCTTAATTAATCTAAATAATTACTGCTGGGATTCCAAACGTTGTTTTACATAGGAAATTTTAAAATGAGTGATCCAATCCACAGGCAAAAACATAAACTTACTCAATGTGATGTATTTTTTCTTTTTTTAATGTTTCTCAGAACTTTAGAGGGAAGTAAACAAGAACGTGATATAATGTGCCAACCACACTATATCTGCTAATATCCATTGACGATGAGGCCTTTCGCATAATACTGAAGCTCATCAGACCGACTGGGATACGATAAACATACTAGTGGTCTAGAACAGTGGTTCCCAAACTCTTTTAGCCTGAGGATCTCATGATGTGAATAAAAAAGTTTGAGGCCCCACAACCTATAAAAATTCCTTAAAATGTGATTTATCAATTTCAAAAAAATAATTACCAATGAATTTTAATGACATCAATGAAGTAATTTTTCTATTTAATGTTTGTAATTTAATGTGGCCTTTTCTTATCAATTTATATGTATTATAATTAGACCGTTAGCAATTGATTATGTTTGGGTTAAATTTGTAGACTGATGAGCAATTAAATACACACTTACTTTTATGTAAAGTTATCTTATTTTCGTTTTAAAACATGAAGCAATCCTGTAATTTAAGATTTAAAATTAATAACAAATGATAACAAAAATATAGAATTAAACATTTTATTTACAAATTAATATACAGTCGAACTAAAATAAAACATAGAAAAATCATAGCGTCCCCCCCCCCGAAAAAGTTTCACGGTCCGCAGGGGGGGTCGCGGCTCTCACTTTGGAAAACACTAGTCTAGAATATATTTATATCATCAACTGCATGAAAAACAACTGTAATGGTGTTAATGAAAGTCATTACCACAACTAAAGCAACGTGACACACAATGTGTGAAAAGCTTGCCATTTGTATGGGGTTTGGGGCATGCCCCAGAAAATATTTGAAAATTTAATGCTATGAGGTTGAATCTTGAGCCATTTCAACAAGAAATACTGCATACACATAACATAATGTATTGAATTAAAAGAAGCAAGTTTTAATACATGAGTTGTAGCTATACATATCATGAAAAAGTGGTCAGGCCATGGCCTGACTGGCCTTTACCCCTTCCTAAGGCCCTGAAAGTTATAAGACAGTTTTATTTAAACTTTACGGGTTGTTATTGGTTAAGATTAAAAATTTTGTAGTTTTATTTGTTGTTGTTCAAACTTTAAATGACTACAAAGTTGTGGCTACCTAATTTACATGAAATAATATTTCCAGATTCCGTCTATACTGAGAGGTACATGCAGTTCCCGTCGCCCGAGCAAAACTACTTAGCTTATGAAAGGTCCAGCTTATTGAAGAAGGTAGCAAACATCAAAGGAACCAAATTTCTCCTCGTTCACGGCACAAATGACGGTAATTAATCAAAGTCGGCTCGGTTTCCGAAATATATAATAAGTATTACAAAAAAAAAGAGCAGTAGTAATTAATAAGTGTAACACTGTCGTCGATTGGAAACTAACTTATATTAAAACTTTCATTTCATGAGATTAATCATATAGTACCAAATCTATACGAATTATATTGAGTCTGCCCCCCCTACCTCCATTGGATTACCAAATAAAGATACTCTTAGACCTAATAAAGACAGCGACCTTTTTCAAAAGGTTTTAAGAACAACCCTCTCTTGCCAAAAATACTAGATCCGCCCAAGAATCTTAAACAATATTATATGAATTACTAACTATAGATTATATATTGTTGTATAGCTATTTTTATTTGAAGAGATTTGTAGTTCTTGCGAGAAAATTGCTATAAACTTGTAGACCGGTCAGAAAGCTCTATGTCAACGGCCTTTCACAATATGCACTCGTTGCCATGCGTAATACAAAGAAAAAAGCGTCTTCGACATTTAAATAATCTCACTTACATTTCTGAAACTGTTGATTAAACTATTGTACAACATAGGCTCCAAGCACGTCGCTTTTGCTAGTCTGTGACTTAAATGTGCGAGGTTAATTCTAGCGTAGATAGCCCATTGTGTAGCTTTGTGCTTAACTACAAACAAACAATGCTTTCTTTCTAGCCTTTTAGTTGAAAATTGGAAACGGTCATGTGCAAATATTCCTTGTGTAGCTGTCTGCGAAATTTTGGAATAAACCATTCGCTAAAGAAAGTGAGCAGTTAATGCTGTCGTAAGAACTATGTGCACAGATGTTGAACATTTAGATAAAAGGTGTAAATACTTAGCATACATGGACCCATAATCTCATATTTAATATATTTTTTGGTGTTGTTTTCTTTGTTTACTAAACAATAAAGAGACACACGTTTGTTTTTGAATATTGTTATTTTTTGCTCTTTTTAAAATAACATTGCGTCGTAAAGCAAGCAAAGTAATTGGAAAAGGCCTAAAAACTCGAGAACTTTCGAAGCGTTGTCTCTTCTTCATCAAAACTTAAAGAAAATAAAAGAAATTACTCTTCAAAGGAGTTCGTGCTTCTGGGTTATTTATGGACTTTTATAATGTTTCATCTCCGTAATAATATTTTAAAAATCTCAGAATGTATTTTAATAAATTATTTTTTTCTTTTCATCCTTCAGATAACGTTCACCTTCAACAGTCCATGATTTTAATGAAAGCACTTACCGATGCAGGAGTTTTGTTTCAGACACAAGTAAGTCGAAATCTCGTATTATACACTATGTTTGTACAACTTTTTTATTAAGTAGGGGTTGCTTTCTGTGGCCTTCTGTACTTTATGTACGGTCTAATAAGGGGAAAATCTGGCGTGGTCTATTGGTTAGCGTTCCCACACTGTGAATTCTAGGGTTCTTGATTCGTGTCCTCTTGCTATGCGGCAGTGGGTGCGCTATAAGAGTGACAGTCAAATTTTTACCATCCGGTCAGATGAGAATAGCTCAAGAGTTAGCGGTGAGTGCTGTTCATTAGCTTCCTTCTCTCTGTCAGCTCAAAATCAGACCAGATACACAAAAAATAACCCAGCTTCCCCAATTAGTCAAAGATACATCTTTGGTGAAGCTTGTTTTAAACAACTTATGACGTTTTTACTTACTACATTATTTCTAAAATCAGATGCGTTTTTTTTCTGAAACTTCTGTTGGTCGCATTGTTGCAATATTATTTAGAGTAAAATACATACATTTTTCTTCTATGTTGTTTTCAGACCAAGTTTTTCATTCTGTCTGGTCAACAGTATGTACTTTAAACACTACATTTCTTTGTTTTCAGATATATCCAGACGAAAGCCATAATCTGGCTCACGTCCCCTCGCACTTTTACCAAACAATGGAAGCTTTCCTGGATCAATGTTTCGATATTCCCCGCAAGGAAGACATCGGACTTCAAAAAACAAGCAAAAAAGTTTTTATTGGAGGAAGATAGTTGCGGACTAAGACGTTTTCCAGTTATTTACATCATTGTCTATTTTATGACCTTTTCATTCATCTTCTTTTCAGTTCTTTTTAAATCAGACAAGTGTGCTTGAAAATGACATTTTTCAAACAATAGAATTTCATCAGTGTTTAGGCTTAGACCGATCTCCCTTAGATACTTTATTTATAAATTCCATTTTGGACAAACTTTTCATTTGGTAGGTAGTCCTTGCTTTCGATAGTTACTATTAGGAAGCACCACACTTTTGTGCCAAACAGAATCCCAACAAAATATTTTACTGTAATTAGGATGTAATAATAGTTTCTAAAATACAAATATTAGAAAAAAATTTTATTTTACTTTTTCTCGAACGACCTTCATCAGGAAGATTCCACAGAGGAAACGAAAAATTAGAAAGTTGCAGAAACCCGAACATAAATAAAAACTTAGTAAAGACCATTTAAAACTGACGTTTCTGTTAATTTCTTCATTAAAATTATCTTGTTCATGGATTTATCTATAGATTTCAAGTCTTAAAAGCTACCAAATACTTTCCTATTGGTGGACTTATCTATAACCGTATGTTGAAAGTTACGAAGTTTTATCCCTAATCTTGACGCTTCAAAAATTGTGATCCATCCTGAACGGTACCATATTAAATTGAATTTGTTTAAATCGGTCGAACTCAAAACCAGAGCCAAATGTGTCAAATCATGATACATTGTTAGATGATAATAATAATAATAAAAGGTATTAATTATGAGCATCTGATGATAATTAGTCTATTAATATAAAATCTCGCTCCGAGGAATAACAGTTTTGGGCCGGGCGCTGATTAGTGGTTAGGGTGGCGGTATGCAGAACGGAAGGTCCAAGATCTCGATATTCCTCTGAACATGCTCCTCACTACCTGCAGTGGGAGCGTTACAAAAGCGGCAGTCCATTCAACTATTCGGTAACTGTGCATGCGTCGGTTGCTGCTGATTGGTTTAATTCCCTCTGGTCAACAGTTCTAAATGAGGGACGGCTATGCCTAAACCATAAGGTCTATGACTTAGTCATTCAGTCCACGTGTCGGCGACTTAAAATACCAAATCGTAGCAGATTCAATACTTTAATAAATATATTGAAACGTTACTATGAAGATTTTTGTATCTGCTGAGCATCAGTCCCATCTGATTCCGTCTCAGAAGTTTTCAGTCCAACTTTTTTTTATAAACAGTTGAGTTTACCAACAACTCAGAGACTTTCGAAATCATATGTATTGCTACCCGAAACCTTCGCCAAAGGCTTCCCAGATATACGTTTTGCAAAAGCAAGTTTTTCAGGTATAATCCTTGTTTTCTATAGAGGTACACGCTTTTCAAAGTTGAATGAGATACTTTTTAGAGTGTCTTGGTTTGGTAATAATGTTTAGACTAAAAATTGGGTAAATGAAAAAAAATAATGGCCAAGTTGCACAGTGTTGTGATTCAGGTGAATATTGTGTCAGTTTTCATATCAAGGTCGTGAAAGTTTCAAAATCAAGAACTAAGTCTTCCTACAAGCTATGGATTCTTTCTTAACACGTGTTAGTTCAGAACACGTCAACGTATTCTGTCCTCAATGAGAAACGTTTTTGTTTTTTGTCTTTTTCATGGCAAATTGTGAAATTTGCTATTAAAGCTTTCAAAACACCTCTCTTGTTATTTTTCGTTCGTTCACCGAGTTTCACTTTCACATTATACATAACTGTGCGTTTACAAAATGGTATTGCAATAAAACTCGTTTCTTACATTTTAAACATAAGCTTGTTTTAGTCTTAATGCTAAATGAATTATGGCTTTCACATCCTACTAAAGATAGGTTTAATGCTTAAGACGTTTACCAATAATGTTGGCTCTGGATTTTAGAGCTATCGAGCCGGGTTCGAATCCGTGTGATACCACAATAAATTTCTCGTACTTTGACCTGTGGGAGTGACAGTCACCTCTTTAGTGTGGGTGGTAGGGAGTTGCTAACTGCCTGTTGTCAAAATTAGGGACGGCGGCAGGTAGCTTTGCCATAAATGCAAATGCTTAAACTACACTGTTGCAGCAACAGTTCTTCAGATATTTACGTGCGATACCTTTCGGAAATTGAAATAATCAGTTCACTCGTGAAAATATTCCGTATTTTTACCTAAACAATAAAATGCTTTAAATTGTCAGAACACGAACCCACAAAACGCTTTTAATTAATGATTAGTAAAAGTAAAATCAGTAATGACTAAAAGCAATTTCAAAATATTGGTATTTGTTTGACATTATACCCATATAAAAATGTACTAAGTAGCATTATGTATATAATGTATATGATCCAGAATAGTGTTGGTCTAAAACACTGAAGTGCAACATGCATACTGGTTTTAACATTTCGTGTTCATGAACATAGTATTCAGAAAGATCTCACGAACAGAATGAACGTTTAAGAAACAGTTGTTCAGTATATATACGTATATATGTCATGTAAGAATTTACATTTCCAATAAATTTCTACGATAAATCGAAAGTGACGACGTTTCTGACTTTTTGTTTTCTTACCAAGATTCGCATTATCGAAGTTATGCTTCATCAGTGTATATATATGTTTTACTTGATAGGAGGCAAAACAAATCATGTCTCGATGTGTACATATGTATAACAAATATATATACAGTATTGGAAATAATTATGGAAACAGTGAGAAGAAGAAAAAAGGAGTATAAGAGGCAAGTACTACGGGATGTCACCCCTTCATGATGCAAGTACTACGGGAATGTCACCCCTTCATGATGCAAGTACTACGGGAGTGTCACCCCTTCATGATGCAAGTACTACGGGAATGTCACCCCTTCATGATGCAAGTACTACGGAATGTCACCCCTTCGTGATGCAAGTACTACGGGAATGTCACCCCTTCATGATGCAAGTACTACGGGAATGTCACCCCTTCGTGATGCAAGTACTACGGGAATGTCACCCCTTCATGATGCAAGTACTACGGGAATGTCACCCCTTCGTGATGCAAGTACTAATAATTGGTAACTTGATTATGAACCATACAAAATACAAAAGAGAAACAAATAAGTTGTGTGATGCACAAGTATTTTGTTTGAGTTCTTTGATTCACACAGAGTATTACTGCTTCTTTTTATGTCCTGTATTACTTCCCACCCTTCAGTCAAATTGTTTGGTCTTGCTGCAGTTTTTGCATGGAGTACCACTGACCAGCCAGAACTTTGATTTCTACACGCTTGTCACGAGGTATTTCAGTTCCTGGAGCCATGGCTGGGCATAATATGACTACCTGTACTTTTATGAGCTTTATACTGGTGTGATATCAACCAGTCAATGTGTAAGCTATCAACATGTGATTATATACTTTGGTGCAGTTCATTTTACCACGATGAAGGGGTGATATTTCTGTAGTACTTGCATCACGAAGGGGTGACATTCCCGTATTGTTTGTGTATCGCTTATGGGTTTCCATAATTATTTCCAGTAATGTATATGATAAAAACATTAATGTTTCCGTATTATTAAACAATAATTCTTGAATACGTTTATGATTCTTGGAACATAAGATTATAAAATTAGACTCATCAAAACCAAAGAAATAGTTGTTGTTTTGTTTTCAGAATTCGTAGTGCATAGTGGAGGGATTAAAACATTTTGGCAATGAAGTTAGAAAAAAAATGGTCATTTCGGATCTGTCCCCCTCCCGGAGGTCCCTACATCTTTCCCGAGCGTTGAACAGTTTCATTAGCTAGAATATCTAACTTGTACTACATAACATGAGATTAAATAGTTAGTTGTATATAACATTAGGGATATGTAACATTAAAGACAAACAGATATCACAGTTACGGTAAATATATACATAATCTTAAGATCAAATTTCTGTTCACATAAACTGTTAACTTCAAAGTAAACAATTGGTGATATAGAATATAAAATATCACGCAGTATTTAGGATCAGATATAAATACACATATATATATATATATATATATATATATACACACACACA